GATCAGTCTCACGAGTAGAATATCACTCTAACCCTAGCCCCAACCCTAAGTCTAAAGTTATATTCTACTCGTGAGACTGATCTCTCGATCTCATCATCCTCCCGTTCCAAACGATGCGATCATTGTGTCTTGTCTTTGTGCTCCCCCTCCCCTCCTTGCACCAGTGCCTCGAAGCCTTCTTCGCGACGGAGGGGTCGGCTCTGCGGTGCTGCTACAGCCATCGCTTCATCAAGAGCGTGACGATGACTTCGCGGAGCCCCGTGCAGACGCCGTCATAAGGGCGGAGCGGGTAGGATTGGCCCGGAAAGCGTCCGCCGCAGCCGCCGCTGCCGCTACCGCACAGAAGTGCGCCGCCGCCGCCACCGCCGCCGCCACCGCTGCCGCAGCCAATGCTGCCATCGAGTGCGCCGCCGCCGCCGCCGCCGCCAACGCCGCCGCCGCCAACACCATTTAATGATTGGTGTCAGGAGGCCACGCCGTCCTCGTCTAACCAGCTCGTGGTCTTGGAGGACCCGACCGGTGGAAACATCCAGAGGGCAAGCAAGGGCAAGGTCGACACACTACACGTCGAACGGGGCGGTGTCACTGAACCGGCTGCGCTATTAGTAGAGGCGATTTGCGTGGTGTGTGTGTATTAGACTATAGTTCTGTACCCAATTCTGTTCCCCGAGCGCGGTTATGTTGCTGTGCTATCGATTGTGGCGCGTGATGGTGGAAGGCCTGCATGGGGCAGTAACTCGGCATGTCTTTGTATCCGCTTCTATGCATACCACCGGTAACCCATTGGAACCCGTTGGGCTCGTGCGCACACGTGCGGGAAGTTAACAGAACATCGAGTAGGATAACGTGTTAGGTTTAACTGCTGTCTGTTATACAAGTTCCAACGAACGTGCCTGACATGTCGTTTTCGGGCCGGCCAAGCATGTTCTAATTTGAGTATCAGTTTTGGCCCCAAATGGGGAAAGGTCGAATACCACGGTTGGCGAAGGGGAAGAGGATGTTCGCGCACGATGTGCTCCCAGGAGCTGCAGAGTAATTTTTGTAGCTTGGCGCGTTTTAACCCGGCCATTTTCATGTACAGTATTTGTAGAAAGCCAACTGAAGAAGACAGGCGTGGGGGACTGTACTGACACTGGTGTTGTTGTGATGGTGTTTGTTGGGCGCTCTCGTAAATTGATTGTGTTTGCGTGGTTGTAACTGCTGTGGGTTAGAGTTGGTCAAGGGGTTCTTTCAACGCCAGCACACGACGCGTCGATCGAGTCCGTCCATCGAGAGTGACCGCCGCTGTTTGTTGACCGTATTACCCTTTCGATGTTTGACATGAAGGTGTTCGTCGTCCCACGACAGGGAGATCAACGGGTAAGGTTTACGGTGGGGAACAGGGTGAGCAAACGGGAAATATCACACAAGAAAGGAGGCTTTTCGTGCAGAGCCAAAGTTGAAACGACAAAGAAAAATAATGTTGCAAGAGGTGATATATAGCGGTGTCGATTGTTGGATTGGGTAACCTCCTGGTTTCGTTCGTCCTTGTCAATAGACATGAGCGTTCGATGTCAGTATCGAGCAGGAGTATATCTATCATCGATGGTGCTGCCTCCCCAACTTGAAGTTGGCGGGCTAACTGACCCAAACGAACTAAACGGCATATTGCTCATCTCAATGCTGTCATGCCCGCGAAGGTAAAGAAGGGGGCGAAGGGCGGCTTGACAGGCAAGGGGAAGGACAAGGCGCCAAGGGTGGCGGCGAAGGAGGTAATATCGCACATGAAAGGAGGCTTTCTGTGAAGTGCCAAACTTCTACTTATGTGACAGCGGTGTCAATTGTTGGATCGGGTAACCTCCTGGTTTGTTCGTCCTTGTCAACAGACATGAGCGTTCGATGTCAGTATCGAGCAGGAGTATATCTATCATCGATGGTGCTGCCTCCCCAACTTGAAGTTGGCGGGCTAACTGACCCAAACGAACTTAACGGCACCTGGTTCATCTCAATGCTGTCATGCCCGCGAAGATTTCGGAGGAGGCCGAGGGAAACGCCAAGACCAAGGGCAAGGGGACGGGCAAGCGGAAGGTGCCCAGGGCGGCGGCCGAGGCGGTAAGTAATGTCGCACATGAATTGAGGCTGTTTGTGAAATGGCAAACGTGAAACGACAAGGGAAAAAATATCTTGCAAGACATGATAGCGGTGTTGGTTGGTAGCCGGGGTAATTGTCCTGGTTTGTTCGTCCGCACTATGGACGGGAGAATTCAATGTCAGTAGCAAACGGGAGTAAGTCCATCATCGATTGTGCTGCCTCCCCAACTTCACGTTGGCTGGCTGAACGGCCCAAACGACCTAACGGCACCTCGCTCTCACTGTTGTCATGCTTCGAGCAGTCGTAGAACAGGGCGCATACCCTACCACGCCTCTGGTGCAGTTAGTTCCGTCGTCCTCTAGTCCTTGCTCTTGCTCTTGTTCTTGCTGCTGTCGTCATTTTTATTTGGTGCTGGTGCGCTGTCCGGAGGTTAGTGAGGTCAGGTGATGCACGTGCATCGCCACTTCCATTTGATATCCCTGGCCGATCTCGTTTTTGTCCGTTTTCCTTCCCGCCCGGTCCGTGCCTTCTGCTGTGGACCCCTGACGGCGTCGATGGAACCTCTTCCGCTACCGCCTGCACTACCGTCGCCTCCTGCGGGAAGGAGTCGCAGTTCCCCAAGAAGAGCCCGCGGATCGGACCGGAGTTCCAGGTGAGGGGTAGAGGTACAGCCTAGAAACAAACACGACTGCTCGAAGGTTTGATGTGGGAGGAGGTGGAGATTGTAGCGGCAAGGCTACCTCTTGCTGTGCGTGCCTTGATGTAGATGACATATTATGAGGTTTGTTGACACTCTCGTCGCATTGCGGAAATCGAATCACCATACACACGTGTTGCGCTTCACGACAAGAACAAGAAGGCCACGTCCGTGTTCGTGTGCTTGATTGCATATCTCGCGTTGTGTCCGTTCGTGTGCTTGATTGCATATCTCGCGTTGTGGAGCAAACGGTCAGCGTTTCCGGAGCGGTGCTCTATGGTGCGATTGTCGTGAATGCGTTTGGCGTCCTCTCACTGCTGTCCATGGCATGAATGTTTTGGAAGCCGTATTGATGTTGGTCTGTTGGGTATTTTTCCGTGACGACCGACGATCTGCTATGCTACAGTGGTACTGCAGACTCCTGTCGGTGGGTGCCGGGTGGCACACTTGGTATCTTCTACCATCTGTGAAGTTGGACATGTGGGGGGTTGCTAGAACAAGACTCGAGCCAGAACCAATACCTAAAGGCGGCTTGCGAGTCACTGCTGCTATTCCGCACCTCTCTTTTGCTTGTGGCAGGCGGTGTTGCCCGCACGGAACACCGCAGACGAGTTGGCGCAGCCCGGCCAACAGCCGGAGAACCATTGCAGTCAAGTGTGGGGCGCCCCGGCGGACACCATGTCCGAGGAGGCCAAGGTACATACGGAGAAGGTCGTCACGTGTGTGGCTGGAGCGAGGGGCAAGGGAGGAGAAAACACGGACTGATTTTTCGTTCTTCCCTAAGGTTCCGTCGAACAGGATGAACGGTAGTTCTCTCGGTTGTATTCCGTTCTCCAAGAAAGGATGTACCGGCATTGCGAGCAGAAAATTATGACGTTTGTCAAGCGGTCTAGGCTCAAGATGGCAGCAGCAGACTCCGGTACAGGAGAGGTCGTAGCTGTAGGTGGTACATGTATCGCGTGCACGTCCAAGTAGAATCCTAGGTGGCAGTGTTTCCTCGCATAATTGTTGCTTAGATCCCCGTTTTTTGGTAAGTCCGCAACCGGACGATCGGCTCCCTCTCCGTCCTTTACAGCACAGCACAAGGCGTGTTGCTTTGATAATACCATCATGGCGACGCCACCAATCACAACACAAGAGCAAGGTACAAGCCCAACAAATGAAGTTGTTTGTCGTGCGCGGTTCCCTCTTCCCTGCGGCAGTCCATGGACCTCTTTAAGGCCCAACTCTTGACGGAGTTCCGGGCGGACATCCCGGAGGACGAGGTATGAGAAACGCGGGCAAGAAACGATAGTGCATAGGGGGGAGGGGGTGCTCATGATTGGAGTATGCAGCAGGTGTTGTTGTGTACACGGTGTCTCCAGCGTGTACCAGTATTGCCAGAGAGTAGGTGTCGCCTAGCAAAGAGGGAGGCTCCGCCTTGTTTCATGTACTCTCAGTACGCGTCCAAGCTTCAAAGTCAGGCGGTCGACAGCGACCAACCCTGTTTGATTGTGGCTTATGCGATAAGCGTCCCGTTCGTGTAGAAGTCGTTTTTCGTTTGATTTACAGCACTGAAATCGGAGTAGAAGGCTCCCGAAGCCTACATCCAATATCGGGCTCTTTTCTGCTGGTGGTTAATCTCTCGGTCTTATCATCCCCCCACTCGAAACGATCCGATCGTTGTGGCGTGTCTTCGTCCCCCCTGTCCCCTCCCTCCACTAGATCCTGGAGACCCTCCGCGCCACGGAGGAAGTGGGAACCGGTTACCCGTGGTTCACATCGGTCCGCGCTAATCTGGCGCAAAAGGTGGCCGCCAAGCCCCAAGCCACCGCCGCCACCGCAGCCGCCGCCGCCAATGCCGCAAACGTCGCCAGCCTTTGGACAAAGGCAGCAATCGCGCCGCGGTGGCG